ATACGCAATGCATTACGCAATTAGTTATCATATATACGTTAACCATATATCGAACATTTAAATCCTTTCAATACTAACATTCTATAAGGTTCGTACGTAAAACGCATAATAAAAGGGTACAAAACCCCGGTATAAGTTATGGACTTTTGTATTGAATCTATTTATATCTATTTCGTTTACTCCGTCACAACTCACTCACAAACAGCGTTACGTTGCGATGACGTCACTCTCGCTTCAACTCTCGCTGAGTGACACGTTGTCTGTGAGTGGGAGCGCGCGATGCGTGCATTGATTGGCTGTTTGGGCGCCAAATCGCAACACATTTCACAGCAATTCAATTGAATGTGAGTTTTGAACGGCTTTTGTGTTGCCATTGGTTTTCATTGCAGTTATAATTAGTTTGAATTGTGTTTTACTTTCCGTTCACTCATTACTGGCTGTTATGTAAGCATTGATACAAACATTGCACTCATTATTACACCAATTATTTGTCAAAACATTCATTCATTTAAACATTGCTTTCAATTGTGTTGACAACGATAGCGTGATTGTCATCAGTAATGAACCGACAGTCCAACTATGGTTTCGGTGGTCGAGGGTCGGGTATACGGCCTCCCAGTGCGTACGGCCAGCAAAACACCGGCGCCCAGAGTCGGCCCAAATCGCAGTCCACGTCCAGCCAGTCGTCCGTCCCGTCGACGGCCTCTTCGCGCAAAGGCCCCCAAAACGGCACCAATTTCTTCAACTTCCCGGGCAGTGGCGGCTCATCACGACTCAGTAGCGCACCCAATGGGGGCCGACAGTCGGTGTTTGGGGGCTTCCGGCCCAACAACCCCTTCTCGAGCGCCCGCAAGAGTGTCACCGCAAAGATTGGGCCCCTCTTTGGTCTGACGCCACAACACAATCGCGCGTCATATCAGCCGCAGAGCTGTTCCTCCGCCCAGTCGTCCAACAGGAGGTCCAGTATTGGCGGCAGTCGTGGCCACGTGAAGGACAGCCGTCCGCTCAGTGAGTCCTCCTATCAGAGGCAGTGCGCCGGCAAAGTGTTGGACTTCTTGACCAATAATCCCATCGGAGTGTACCCGCACTCCATCAGCAAGACCTTCGGCACCCGTCCCACCGTTAAAGAGATCTCCAGTGTCTTTGAGTTCCTGTTCGCCTGTTATGGCATTAAAGCCAAAATGGTTCCGATGGACGTTTCGGAGTGTACCCGCACTCCATCAGCAAGACCTTCGGCACCCGTCCCACCGTTAAAGAGATCTCCAGTGTCTTTGAGTTCCTGTTCGCCTGTTATGGCATTAAAGCCAAAATGGTTCCGATGGACGTCGAGGTGCCCAAGATTATGGCATCCCTTGAGTATCCATTTCCCGTCAAGAAGTCCGATTTGGTTTCATTCACGAGCGGCAGAGCACTGGGAAGTGTCTTAGGAATGCTTGAATGGTTGGTCGACTCTCTCAATGTAAGTCTCATTTGACATCCCTTTCCACCAAAACGCTCGTCAAAACCGCATCTAATGAGAGGCCTTTGCGCTCAACCCATACATGCAAACCATTACGAGCTCTAAGTTTTGGCAAATTCTTGGCATTCCTCTCGCAATCGCACTTATAAAAATCTTTAATAAATGTAAATTTCCCGAAAATAAACTGTACTTAAAACTTATAAACAAAATAGACATACAGACGCGGATATCATATGGGAATTATACCTAGGGCAGGCGTGAAAAATGGCCAACTTCGAGGGAGAGATTGATATCAAATCAGAATTAATAAGACTTTGTTTGAGAGTCAATGACGAGGGCGTGGATGACGAACAAGTGGACAGTTATCTCCAGGATCTCGTCGTTAAGACATATGGCACTGAGGATGACTACGAACAGCTGATCGATGAGTCGGAAGGTCTCGAACGGGAAGTGCAGCGATTGGACGAAGAGATACAACAGATCCGAGATCTGCCGCAAACCCTACAGACATACGAAGCGGACATCAAATCGTACGACAACTATATGACTGAAATGAGATCACATCACAACCAAAACCAGACGACACTCGAGAGCCTCCAGAAGGAGTACAGCGAGAAGATGGCGGCCATCAAGAAGTTGGAAGAGCAGCGAAAGTGTCTGAAATGCAAAGTAGAGGAACAGGAGTTCGGTATCGAGGAGGCGGTGCTGGCGAGGGAGCGGAAGCAGCAGTTGTCAGATGAGATCAAACAGGAGTACGGAGTGATCGATGAGCTGAAGAAAGGCATTCGCAGCGCACGACTCGATTGCAGCAAATACGAGGACATAATTAAGAAAATGCACTCCGATTTGGACTCATTCATCACAGCGATGGCCGATTTGGTGGACTCGCCGGTGATGGCCGGCTATAGCGCGGGTCTGCGGCAACTGATTCAGTGCCCCGAATGGCGCCAAATACTGTCGGCGCTGATCGGCATCACGAACGGCGAGACGAGCGGCACGACTGTCAATGAATTGGAAAAGTTATTCTCACATAAAGTTCATGAACTGAAAATAGCGATCATTCAACAGTTGAGTGCATTGCAGGGCTCCGTCTCTCTCACTGAACACCAAAAACTCAATGAATTTAATCTATTAATCAATGAGAAGGAGAAGCAATTGAAACTAAATGAGAAACTCGTCGCACAATTGATGTCTCAAATGGAAACACAGCGTAAAGTTAGTCATCTCTCTCTACCATTGATTTATTTCATTTGACTGTTTGTTAGTTAACCCCTGTTTTTATAATTGTTTTATTGGTTTTTGTTGTTTATTTTACGTTACAATTGAGTGAAAAGTTTTTGTTTTAACTTTTCTTTTGTTTGTTTCTCGCACTCCGCTGTCTCTATGCGTTTGATTATTGTGTTAAACGCCTGAACACTCACTCTTGAAGTCAAAAATAATAATCGTTTTGTTTTTGTTAGGAAATGCATAATATTAATGAGTTATATATGTCTCACACACTCTTATGATAACAATTTATTCAAATAGTATTTCTCTCTATCTTTCGATAAAACTGTTTATTATTTATTTGAAATAATAATCGTATGTCTAATACGTGTGTCCTATAGGATCAGGTCTCGCAAACGGCAGCCCTTCAAAGCGATTGCGAGCGCACCCGACAACTGCTCAATGAATTTGATGGCAATACTAAGCGCTCGCATAAGGAAGAGAAGCAAAATCTCTTGGATTTACAGAAACAGTAATTTCTTTATTATTATTGATATTTCTCTCACTTATTATGTATACAAAAGTTGTGCTGAAAACTCATTTTTCGTGTCATTTTGTTTGTCAATCGCCTATAGAGTGGATGAAAAAGAAAAACTATACCAAAAAGAAGTGACAGAAATGACGGAGAAGTTCGAGAATAGTGTTAATACTAATAAGAGAGGAATACTTGAGTTTAAATCAAATATCGAGACATTTATAGCCGAAGAGGAGTGCTTTTTCTTTCTAGACTTCTTTCGCAATCTTTTTTGACCAAGAAGTCAGCCGCGAGTGTTTCTCGCGTTTGTGTCTCTTTTTGTGCTGTTGTCTTTGTTTTGGCTATTATTCCTCTTGTTCATCACCTGTAGTCGTCTCCAACACACTCTTGTATCATATAAACAGGAATTAGAGTCACAAATATGACAAGAATTCCCTAATTTTCGTCCAACGATTCATACATTAATTTTTTATTATAGAAATATTTTATTTATACCGCAATTCCTTATCTCTCTTATGTTTTACTACTTTTATTGTTTTTTCTCAAGATTTAAATAATTGTCTCCTTTTAAGCATAAATGAAATGCTATTTTATACGACTTATGCATCTTTTAATCGCTTTTATATTCATATAATTCTTGTAAATAACTAAATATTAAGTATATAAATGTATATTTTATTCAGAATTAAACCAAATTCTCGAGTCTCTTATGTATAACAATAAAAGCATTTTCATCAGAATTTCAATCATTTGAAACCTTGAGCTTTGAATTGAAAAGAAATGATTAAATCCGAGAGAAACTCAATGCAAACGTCCATCAAATGAGAAGACATGCCTTTTAGTGATAAACAGAGTAATTATTGTCTGAGAAAAGGATTGTTTCAACAATTGTTTGTATGTTTTCCTCAACCAATTGACTAGTTTTTTCGCAGACACTTATGTTTGAAGGGAAAGGGATTGCAAATAACAGCTAATTGTCGATCCATTGAAAGCAAGAGTTGTTTATTAAGGGAGAAGTTCTGTCATATGATGAATGAGTTTCTCAGAAGTAATTACTTTAAGACCAGTTAATAGTGACTAAAATGATCGCAATTTTTCAAAAGGGTTTCAAACCATTTTAAACAGAATTGTATTTGAAAACATGCAATTAATGCAAAGGTTAATAACGTCAATATTAAACACTTTTAGATTTTATTTTTCTAATAAAAATACTTTTAATTTAATTTTCAAACATAAATAGGACTTATTATAAGAGATTTATTACATGAATAGAGTGTTAAATACCGGCAAAAAATAGTCTCTGAAACTAATTATCTAATAAACTAAACGACTCGCAATTTTGGCCAAATATTTGGTAAAATAGTTTGCAATTAAAAAACAAAATTATAGATTAAATGAAATGAAAATAATAATTGAAAATCAATTGACAAATAGATGTGTCACTTGTCTGTACTATCTTTGGATAACTCGCTCTCCAGAAGCGCCGATTTGATGCCAATCTTCTGGAGCTCATCGATGAGTTCGCCGTTTTGGTGTTTCTCCAGAAGTATATCACATCCGCCCACAAACTCGCCATTCATAAACACCTGAGGTATGGTCGGCCACGAAGTGTACTCTTTGATGCCTTTCCGCAGCTCTTCGGATGACAGGACGTCGTGAGCGTCGTAATCAACGCCATGCATACGAAGCACCTAATGGTAGGACAGGGATCGGGTGTCGGATCAGTTGAGTTCAATTGATATATCATGTGGTGATTACCTGGACGACGGCATTACTGAAGCCACACCGGGGTTGTTGTGGATCTCCTTTCATGAATATAACCACTTTCTTATTGGCCACCAATTTGTCGATTTTGCTTTTCATCTCATCCGTGGCCACAGCACTCAATGGCCGACAGTAGAGTCGTGTCTGACTGACCACCGATGGTCTCATAAGACTCTTGTAGGCCATCGACAGACCACTCTTTAACGCCATTGTCTCTCACCTCTAAGACCACATAAATAGTCATTAAATCATTCATATAATTGTCGCTCAGTTTTAATTTAATAGTCAAATGAATATATATGTAATTAAATGCCAATTAAAACGTGTTTTATAATTGAAATTAAAACTTTTAATTGTAATTAAATACTCATTGAAATCATATGTAAATAGTTTTTGTTTGTATCGCAAATGCATTACAATTAATACTTTCATTTACTTTAAACGTTATTTAATTATAATTATAATTATAAATAGCTGTAATAGTTATAAATTTAATGAATGCAAACTTTTAATTAAGTTTTTATGGTGATAAACATGCATGGTCATTATTTGACGACTTACTTGTATAGTTTGACTGTCAAACCTTGTTTATATGACAAATGAATGGCAGTTCAATACGAAACTATAGGTTTGAATAACAAATAATGAGTTAATTTGTAAAACATATAACAATTAAATGCAAATTAAAAGTGTTTTTGTGTTTTGAAAGCAATGTTTTGAATGTATTTCAACAGCACTCGTATCAGCTGACAGTCAACTGAAGGACTTTCCATACATTTAGACATCAATTACAGTGAGTTTCTATGCGGGGAGGGGTGCCGGTGCTGGTAGTCTCGCTCACGTAAGCCATTCACTTGATTAGCATATTATGTTCATTTGGCTTTTCAAGGGTGACCCGGCTAATGGTCAAGCAATTTGTCTAAGTTTGCACTCTTTTTAATGCAATTTTCTCGTAAATATAATTTACTTTTTGTCGTTTAATACAAGATATGAATGAATATCAGAGTTGTCTCCACAGCATAAGCACTCGTATTGAATAGATTATCACAAAATGATTAATTATTATGAGTTAATTACTCAGGATAGTTAATAGACTCAGGATAATTGACTATAATATGTATAGCAAAGTGCACCCGTATTTCATAGGCTTTCATTCACTGCCCCAATGATGGCAATGGTTGTAACGATTGTGCACTTCTTTTGCACTCGTATTTCATGTGATCCCGACTTCCGATGCCTTTCCCTTATAATTGCATATAATTTCATAACTTTAAGCGACAATTCGTGTGAAACATAAAACTTAACTAAAATTAGAGTTGATATCAATTTATTATCGCTGTTTTGTTGGGATACTGTCTCTCCTTAATGAATGATTTTGTCATAAAATTAAATTTAATTAAAACGAGACACTCATGTCCTATACATTAATAACTGTTATCTCATTATTAAGACATGAGATGATTAGGAAAATGCATTTTTTCATATCAATTATCAGAAATTAGTTTAATTTATGAATTTCTGTTAGAAAACTCACCGTTTGATTCACTTTCTCACAAGTTTGTGTGTAATGATAAAATTATGCAAATAAACCAGGTCATACCCGCTAAGTATTACCTTCTAATATGCAAAGTTGTATAAGTTTTTGCGATTGTGTACCATATCTCACATATGCCACAAAGCCTCTCATTAATTGTTTTTACAAGATTTTAATCCCAGTATTGAATTCAATTGAGAATTATTGGAGCGAATCGTTGGAAATATAAATTGAATTTCTTTTTGCATTCAAATGACTTTCGGAGAAAAATTGAAAATAAGTTTTTTGTTTTAAAATTTAAAATCATTCACATCAGTGCCAGTAAATTGGGTCCAAAAAACAGTATTTCGCATTTTATTTCTCATTTCAATTAAAGTAAAAAAGCGTACAAAAAATGTTTATTTAATCAATCAATAGATTGATTAGAAAATAGATAAAAATATATTTACGGTATAAAAACAAAATTACAATTATTTTAAAAAATAAATGGACAAAACATATATGAATGAGATTTTCAAATCAGCGTAACAGTGAATAACAAAATAAATACAAAAAACTTAATTGCAATGAGTTTTGATTGCGTTTCGAGAATTGTATCACAAGTTGTGGTTAAAAATATCGTTAATAATAATTATATTGCAATTAATTTTCCAAATCAATTACTGCTTTGAATAAACGGATTCCCGTGGAGGGTATGGTTACGTGAAACATGTGATCGGCGGTCAGCACTTGCGGCGAAAATGTCTTATCAAACAAATCGCTCACAAAATACTTGTGCTTTAGTCCCAACTCATCCAATTTGACGGCAATACTGATGGCACGTTCAGAGAGACGATTAATAAATGCCAGAGCGTAGGACGTATGGCTACCGGTGCTGTGTTTNATCAAACAAATCGCTCACAAAATACTTGTGCTTTAGTCCCAACTCATCCAATTTGACGGCAATACTGATGGCACGTTCAGAGAGACGATTAATAAATGCCAGAGCGTAGGACGTATGGCTACCGGTGCTGTGTTTCGCTTCGGGTAATACTGGACGCAACCAAATGTCAAGTGTCTCGTTGTGAAAGACTCGGACACCCGGTCGAGCCATCCGGTCCTGATTCACACCAATCACCTCCTTATTGAGCAAAATATCTTTGAATTCCTGTCCAATACTTCTCAAGTCATTGGACATGAATAACGGTGCGGCGATTATGGCCCAAATGCCCATTTGGACCCTCGACTGGTCCACTGTTAGCCCTTTATTGCCAATTAAGAGCTATAAAAAATAAATATTAATAACATGTAAGCACTTAATAAATGAATTAAATGATGAAAATAGAAATAAAATAAGTCTAAGACTTTCCTTTACTTATTGCCAGTAAACGCATTGTTTTATAAATTATAATAGCATTGATTCGTGTGTTTGAATATTAGTTAAATTACAATAAGGAAAGTATAAATAAACTAAAAACGTGTGACTCATTGATAACAAGTGCTATGAGAACTTTGTCTGGTATTGTATTACCCGGTATATGACAAGTAAATCATAAAATGAATGAATGAATTCAATTAATATTCAATAGTAAATCACAAATAAATCAAAGCCGATGTGTAAATGCAATGGAAATTTACAGTTAAGTATAAAAATCAATATTTAAATTGTATGTTTAAGTTTTCTAAACTACTAGTATATATAAATCAAATCAATTAAGTTATAAACGGTTGTAAATACTGCGAGACCTACCATATCGGGATCGTTGAAACGTCCCGGTCCTACATTCCTATTGAATATCTCTTGATTATCACCGACAAAGTCAATGGTAGCCAAAATGTCTTTCCAATTGGAGTGTATGTCGTGATATGTGCGCCAAATATTACACTTATCGGCGATGAGGTTCCAGTTGGGGATCACCTGAGATGTGTGTAACTGATAGTAAGGCCAACTGCACGAGTAGACCATCGGTCGACCCGTTTTGTTCAGGACTTCGCTGAAGTCCTCGAAGCCCTTGTCCAGAGTGTGGACGGGTGTGAAACAGGCATCGAGTTTAACCATATCGACCTCCCAGTCCACAAATGTCTGGGCGTCCACCTTCTGGAAGCCTATGAGTCCCGGATATCCCATACATGTCCGCAGGCCGTAGTTCTGATAGATACCTATCTTCAGACCTCTCGAGTGCATCTGTGGTTCAGTTACAGAGATATCATTAGCCATTCATTTGAATCAAATGTTTGAGTTTTTGTTTACATAATCAGAGAGGTATTTGATTCCATTGGGAAACCTCTTGGGATCAGCTAATAGTTTCTTATCTTCAGCCCTGTTTCTACTCATCCAACAGTCATCGATGTTAACCCTATCATAGCCCACATCCCGATAGCCATCGCTCACCAGTCTGTCGGCCATATCTGTGAACAGTTTCTCACTGTTTGAACGAAAATAAGGTTAAGATCTTAAGATTAAGATTAAGATTAAGATTCTTAGTGTTGGGAACCGATAGCTACAGACCTAATGCACTCATCCCTATTCAGGTGACACTTAATATTGCAGCCAAACCTCTCCCACGACAGCCAACCCATCGGTGGTGTCAGACATAAGCCATTGTCCAGACCCGAGATCACCACCACTTCCAGCGATATAACAATTAATATATGAATTAATGAACACATGATTTGACCACAAAATGATTTCAATGATCAATGAATGACTCAATTAATGGCACAACAGATGATGGTGTGGTTTGCCTTTCATATCATTTCAATGGGACAGTAGATTAAGGGGAAAGGGATTTATATATTATAATGTAAACATGAATTAGTGAAATGAATTGAAGAGATGTCCAATAAATAGGTGATAATCAGATGAATGTGTCAAATGAGACACAGAAGTGACACAAACACACACTCAATGATCAGCTGTTTATCCAATGTTTATGTTTTGCATTCATTTCAGACTTTTAACTCATTCAAGGCATCCGTTTTCGGTTAATACTTGTCATTATTATTGCTGTTTTGGTCATAATTTACATGTTTTTAAACTAATTAATAAGTTTAATTTAAATAGTTATAATCATTTATAGTTTTAAATGTTTTTATTGGCAAAAGTAACGCAAATAACACTGAAAACAATATTTAGTGACCGAAAGCCGTATGAAGTGATAATATGCGAGAAATGCCGATAAATAGTAATGAATTGTTTGCATGAATTGGTATTTGCAGTCAATTTATACACACTTTACACTTGTATTCACTATTGATTTCAAATTAAAATGAATAATACATTACAAGTAAATGTCAATAAGTGTTAAACACATCGATATAACCGTGTATTTCATAGTAATAGTCGTGTTTACGAGTGACTCGTTTGCCACAAACTGATGGCTAAATTCAAAACTCAAATCTATGTTCATATTTGCCATCAATTGTGTCAACAATGAGACAATTATCGCATGAAATGAAAAGTGCTTTCAATTGATTAGACCATTGACTGACACATGAAGTCATGATTTAGGGTTTGGTTTGTTTGCCATAAATGTGTTTCTTATCAATGATTTGATTTGTTATCTGAAGTCATAAAACGATATCCAGTGATAAAAATGGCCGAAAAGATGACAACCATTGACGAGCCGCTGCTGAAGACCACGGATGGCATGACGCGGACCACCGAAAGCGACACAAACGGGAAGAGTATTCTGTAAGTGATGTCTTCAGGCGATTGCCATTTGACTGACCAATTGGTTGGATGTGTTTGTAGTGACAATTGGCAGGACTTAATCAATATAGTGAAGAACACATCCGATGGCGTCCTCATCAACCCTCCAGACATCCGGTCATCCGATTGGACCGATTGGTTGGTCTACTTTTGGCGCAATTTATTCCCATTTATTATATGGATATTAGCGATGGTGTGGATCTGTTACCTCTGTTTCTATAACTCGCGAGTGTTTGGTCTCATATTCTCGCGAATTATGAACCAATTCTTCATCAAAAACGGTTACTTCAGCGTCGGCTCCATCTCTTTGGCCACCATTTCCGGCAAATTAATGTTCAGAGACTTTGTTTACGTGACTGAAGACTATTCGCTGAGAATACAAGACGGATGGTATGCGTGAAAAGTCTTTTATTCGTATAACTGATACATAATTAGTGATTATATAACGAGTATGTGTTGAATGGTTGGCACCGTTAGGCTGGTGTTCCGGTGGTGGCTCTCATATACGCCTCGAGACGTGCGGACAGAGGACTTCTCCAACTCCGAAGTGCGACTACTGGTGCTCTTGAATGGACTCGAACTACACATTTATAACCGAACCAAACGATACAAAGAACTCGAGAAACTGTTTGGTTTGCCCACAAGACTCGGCGATAGTGACAGTGATTCCGACGACGACGTCGGCAGCAATTCGCTGATCGATAGCATCAACGAGACGGCCAACGAGTGGAAAGGCAGCCAATGGCGAGATCTGATTCCAGTGACAAAAGTGGAGATAACGTCCGGCCGTTTCGTATTCGGCAATCACTTGATTCCCAGCACTCTATCGCTGGTGATCGAGGAGTCGTACTTCGTATACACGACACGACCGGCCGTTTCGCCGCACGACTTGTTCACGAATATCACCAAATGTAAGGCCGAGAACGTGAAAGTCATATTAGCTCCGAGTCCTAAGTTCATGGGCATCAGTGACGAGCCGCCGCGCTTTATGGGCGAGGGGTTTGTCGTGTTTCAGAGCAATAAACTCGACCTTTACTACTATCAGGACGAGCCGGGGCTCGCGTCCGACAAACCCGAGAAGCTCGAGCTCGCCAACGGAGACACTGTCGAGAAGTTCACGTCCCCGGCCTGGGGTCTAGTCATCAAATGCGGAAAAGGCACTGACTTTAGTTACGGCCCGTGGGCTGACCGCCAGCGGGAACTCTTGTATAACTTCTTTTATCCGTCGGACTACCGGCCGATGGAAGTCTCGAAGCGACCGAAATTAGGCGAACGCCGTGTCTTCGAGTCGTTTGATCTCCGGTTGAGTACGTTATCCGACGCTAAGATCGATGTGTTGTTCTCCAAGAACAAGGAGACCAGTGCTCTGCACGTGAACGCAGGGCCCGGATCTTACTTAGAGATTACCATTCCGTGGGTGAACTCGGAGTCCGGTTACGTGTCGCACATCAACGGCCAGATCATGCATTTGGACGCAACTACTAGTCTGGACTTCAGGCCACTGGCCGTCAGCGAGACGCTCGAGTTTGACGTGAAGATAGCCTACCCTCGGGTGTGGAACGCACACCAACTGTGGACCTGTAGTCTGACCGGTTGTAAGGCAACCGTTAACCTGATTTATGCGCACAAACTCTTCTTTCAGGCGTTGATCGAGGACTGGGCGGGAAAGACACGTCCGGATGTGATGAGGTTCGTGCCGTACACCTGCAAGATATCAGTCGTACTCAAAGAGTTTGAATTACTAATACTCGCCAACGAATACAATTGGATCGACTGCTCGACGGGTCTGAACGGCGAGAACCAACAGCTCGCCATCTGCGGCGAGATATTTGACATGACTTTCGACTTACCGTTTGTCGAGTTTTTGCCGCCAAATGTCGACATCAAGATCTGGATTCAAGGCGAGGGCTTAGAGGCGGCCTTCTATTTGCCCGATAGTAACATCCATAGAGATATCGTCGAAGCGCTCCACACGTACGCCCGGATCACCTCCAGGGACGGCACCACGTATGATAAGCAACACCTGTTCACCAACGATAGGAAGTGGAGGAATGCCGTCTCCCGTGAAAACAATTGGTACGAGTGCTGGACGGCGCCGATCGTCGCGCTGAGCATAGCCTACAAGTATTGGCCGATCCCTCCCAAGACATACGCCTCCAAAACAGAGGTGACGACACCCGAGTTGGAAGAGATATTACTGTCGCCAATGCGTCCGAACCGGTCCCCGAAGCAGGTGTGCTCAGCACCCGATGATTTCGATCCCCTATCACTTGAACCGGACGTCATTGCCGTCGAGTTGGAGATCGGGCCGTCAGTTATCGGTCTCTTTGGGCCACTCTTTCGGATGCTTTGGAATATAAAAGAGAATTATTTGGGAGAATGTCAAGAGTTCGCTGACTTGAGTTGCAACGGATCCGCCTTTTTCGACAAATTCTCGCAAATCGATCCCAAAAACAACGCTAAGGAGAACAACACGAACAGCGATCACATGGAAATGGAGTTCAAGCCGTTTGACGCCCGCATATATCGCCCCTTCGAGGTGACAGTCTCTGTGGCACTGCATGACATTCAGGCGCATCTCATGAAGTGTTGCAATGATACCGACCCTCCCTGTCCTTCCGTGTACACCGAACGGCTGTGTTTTGAATTGCATAAGACATATAACGAGACACAGTTGCAGCTATTGATCGCACCGATAGTTTTGATATCAACTGATTTACAGCAACGAACAGACAATAACTCTCACCTAAAGAACGGCTATTTGACGCTATCGTCGCTTCAGTTCAGAGGTCACGCCATGTTCTCGGGTGTTGACCGACCCCTCGAGAGCGAGACCCTGGAGTACGCGTGGCTCGTGGACGTACAGCTCGGCGACATTGCCGGTCGACTCACTACACCTCAAATCCAAAATATCGTCACACCATTGGAGACATTCCTCCTGCAAGTGCTACAAACCGAGTGCTCACTTCAGCCACCGTTTCCATACCAGAAATGTCTTCACGATGTGATCCAATCTGTTTGCCCGCAATCCACTGCCACTAAACTGTGTCCATATCCAGAGGATCTCAAGTATAAAATGGTTCGCCTGTCCATCGATGCCATAGACATTCATGTGGTCGAGTCGAATGTGTCTATTAGTGTCCAATTGGTTCCCATAAAGTTCTCGATGTGTAATATCCACAGCTGTCACACGTCGATAGGCATAACAGCGCTCATCGATAAACTACTTGTGCGACAGTTTGTGCGGACCAACAGTCCTCCGCATACCGTAAGCTCGAGCACAAGCGCCAAATCAAGTGACCAGAAAAGCAGACTATCGCTGACCAGAGAAGTGACTCAATGGCTGGAAGTGAGCAGTTTGTCATTGGGTCCGCTGTTTGTGGACTCGGCCGAGCTGTTGTCATCGGTGGACAACTACACCCAATCTCAGAGTACATTCCTTAAGATACACGACAAGAAGACTAAGCGCCTCTGGTTTCTCTGGTCAGAGGACACCAATGTATTGCCCGCCGCACTGGTAGGCAAGTGCGGGTGTGTCGGCGGTTCGGCCTTCTTTGGCAACAATAAAGTGGGAATCAATTTCTTCAATGTCTCCAAACGTAACTCCAGTGCCACTGAAACCGATATCTCGAAGTTCTACACGGATTTCAGTGCAAACAAAGACCTGGCGTTTGGCGAGAGTCTGTTGCATAGGGGAGAGTATGTGTTGGGTCTCAGAGTGGATACGGATGAGTGCGACGACGAAGAGTTGTTAGATTTGGTGCCATTCTTTGAGGAACAGTTGACGCCATCCCTCTCCGAGTCGATGAGTGACAGCAAAACGGAGTTGAAGGCGAGCTTCAAATATCGGTTTATGTCTCGACAACAGACGACACCCACTCAGCCATCGAGTAACTCGTTGTCAGTGACATCGCCTCCAATGCCTAAGGACTCGCCATCGATGAGATCGCCATCAAAGTCGGCCTCATTTAGGATTCCGTCGCAAACAAAGCGAAATGAATTGGACGACACGTGCGATGAGACCTTCAAACGGAATCGAAGTCTAAGCGAAAGTGGAGGCGCTGTTGAAGACATTTACAAATCATCGGTTATTCTCGATATCATCCGAAGCCAACAAAAAGCCGAAGCGACGACTGAAAAGAAAGTGGATTTTGAGGCCAACTCTCCCACACATAACTCCGAAGTGTTTCGCACAAAGTCTTTAGAGTCGGGCTCTTCGGCGTCCGAGCGATACTTCTCGGCAGAGGACGTCTCGAACGCCGCGAAGTCTACGAGTAGTTCCTACGCGTCCGCCAAACAGCCGCTCACGAGTAGTGATTCGTATCACTCGGCGGTTACGCCAAACATCACTGACTCGACGACACAATACTTCAGTTGTTTGACATCAGAATCGGTTACTCTGACCGGCGATGACATGAAGAAGGGCGGCGACCGGCACTCAATCAATTCAAGCAATTCGTTCATATCTGCGCTTTCGTCGCACGAAGACCTGGCGCTCGTCGACCTCAGGAACCAATTGGAGAAACCGATTCCCGATTCACCGCTTTTAATGTCTTCATACGCCTCCCATTTGTCGCAATACGTGTGCTATAATTGGGACGTTCCGCCACCCGTTCCCCACTTGACACCATCGCATGTGTCCACTAAAGACTGGTTTCTAAGGAAATCTCAGTGGAGACCCAAATTCAGAGTGAATTCGCACGGATTCTCGTGCCTTAGGATCGCCCGAAAAGACGAGTCGACCGATAAGAACAGCTCTCCGTTCGCCAAAAACGACTTCATTCCCGGATCCGTATTCTTCGAGATGGACAAGAATTTGAGTGAAAACAGTGGCGCCGAACACACCAACGATGGCACCAAAGAGACTGACGACAAGAAATGCGAAGACATTATCTCGAAAAACGTGGAAATCAAGTGCGAAAAGATAACACTTCTTATAAAACTGAATAATGAAATCGATGTCAAGCTCTCTCCGCTGTCGTTGGAGGGCTTGAAGTCGTTTGTGGAGAGTGTGACGCCGACCCTCACATCCCTTCACCCGATTTCAGTACTCAATCACCTGAACCTGAATTGTCTGAACGAAGTCGAGGCCAACAATAAGCTGAAGAAGGAGAAGATGTTATATTTGGGACAATTGAATGCCAAGGCGTGGCAGACACTGATTCGGCGCCAGAATCTGAAGCAAAACAGTCGCCGAATCGCCGACAATAAGGACACCTCTTTAGTGGCCAATCAGTTGGAAGAGGCGAAGACATTCAAACTCTTGTCATTCGTATACATCAACAAAATTAATGTCAATCTAATGCAGGCGTCGATAGTGGAAGAGCTCATCTCATTCGCCGCATTGGATAACATCAAAGACTTGACGTGTGTGTCGGTGATGACGGTCTCCGTCGACGACATCACGTTCTTCTCGTCCCATCACATCAAACAGCGCCGCACTCTTCACACGTTTATGGATCAGAGCTCAGTGTCGACCCTATCGTTCACAGAGAAGGCACTGATGACCCGATTCTTCAGCAAAAAGCCAAAGAAAGAGTTGTCTGAAATCGAGTCCTTAACCATCGAAACGGTGGACACAAATCTCGAGGAAACCATTGCCAGCGCTTCACTCAAATCAATACACATTCAGTTGTCTCGACTCAAGAATAGCAGTACAATATTGAAGGACGCGATACTGACTGTCATTCCCTGTCGTTATAGTAAAGTGGACTTTAAGATCGTTCGCTCGCAAACACCCGGTGCTTCGGACACAGACTCCAGTTCCCGTCAGTCCCGGCAAAGTCGTAAACCATTGCAGCGACAGGACTGTGTTATTGACGGCGACGCCACCACTGATAATACCGGCGGTATATATCTGAAGGTGCAAACCAGTGGTGAGCCCAGGGATGAGGAACACCTGTTGGGGTTCATTATGTTTGAGTGCGGAATAGAAGACATTAACATAAAAGGCGTTAAGTTTAAGAAAAATGAGGACAACTTCGTTGAACTGAAGCCCAAATGCGATGAACCCAACGATAAGAGTCCGGAGTTTGTGCGCGACATCGAAGCCGTTCACGAATCGAGTCACTCGTCCTCATGTGTGGCCGAAGTGTCGACCGTTTGGTTCAACTTCGCGGCCCCACCGAAGACACCCAACACCAGGAAAATTGATTTCACGCGATTGGATTGGCATCTGTTGAGCTCAGCCGCCCCTTCCATCAGCGCCTGGATTTCGGTCACCGATCGGCTCATTATATCCGCAAAGCGTTTGTCGAAACTAAGTGAACAGAGAGTGAACTCAGTTATCGTATGTCTCATGACATTGGGTTTGGACGTGAAGGGCGTTCACACACCGCCTCAAAGCAAGCATTTGTCGCGTCTGTTCACACCGTTAGCCAAATCACTTCAAGACGACCCCTCCTGTCAATTGGTGTCTGCCTTAAGACGTTATTACAACTCAATCGCATTATCCGAAGAGTTTGAGTTAAATCTAAAAGTAGAAACACTTCCGTGTCTTTCGGACCTTCAGAGAGGAATAGTAGCCCTTTGCAGACAGTGGAAGAATGCTCTGTATATGCCTTTGTTTATACAGCAGAACCTGAGGCTAAGAAAGGGAGACAAACACCCACTTCGGGTACTGCTTGAGGAGCGATCCAAACAGATATCCGTCGAAACGGATTCCGGCGACGAAGAGACCGAAGTGAACGACGAAACCACTCAACTGTTGCGCGAAAACACGGGACTCAACACCGATCCCAAAGTGTTGGACAGGATTTCTGTGGAAAACATTGAATTGAATGCCAAGAAGAAGACATCGAAGAGCAACAGTCAGCCCAACGATGACTCTAACGCCGGTTCCGCTCAACCGAAACGCAAACTCAGTGTAATGCAGACCTACTTTCCCCGGTCTAACAGGGCTTCCATATCAATACCGCCGCTCATAACAGCGCCGTTCGAGACGATTGGGACGGGAGTTAACAAAGCCTATGAATTCCTGTTCTCACCCAACAGTCAGAACAGCGCAACACGTCTTATGAATGTGAAGCGAGAAGAGAGTCAAATGAGTCTGAAGTCGACGCTCTCTAGTCTCGAGGCTAATGGCAATGAGTTGGGTGTCGACCAACTGCCCAACGATGACAACCATTTGGATGGCGGCAGTCATGACAACTACGGCGAGGAGAACCTCTACTGGTGGATGGCTCGACAGCAGGACTATATGAAAAACGTGACAAATCTGACCAATTCGTTGCGCAAGACGTCGGCCCCTCTGCTCGACCAAAACGACTCCAAACTCAACACTTTGCAGTCCATCAACAGCACTGATAATGAGGGCAAAGCCCAGACCCAGCAGTTGACGGCACAGGACGTGTCATTCCTGCCGACTGTGGCGCAGATGAGTGACGTCCGCGAGATATTCCATCCCTTCATATCGTCGTTGTGTCAGAAACTGAACGAAGAAGACAACCAGTCGTGTCTGGAGTTTGGACAGTTGGGCACAAAAGTGTCCATTTGTGGCCGCATTAAGCTCTTTAAGATCGATATCGTCGAGTCCGAGAACAGGTCACCCAATCGGAGCCGCAGTCCATCGCGTCTCCTGTCTCCGAGTCATATACAAGTCGTCAACTTTGAGACCCCAGCGCACGCCTCGCCTTTCAAACACCGCCTCAAAGTGGACAACACTCTCGAGGCGTCGGCCTTCCTGTGCGAAGGACTGGGCGTTGAGTTTGACTTAAGAAAAGTGAAAGACTTTGAGAAATCAGAGGGAAATCCGCAGAAAGACAGCAAAGTGTGTCCCATTGTGATCGTGGGACCGGACGGCATGAGTCAGACGACGACACTCATCAACTTCAGTGTCGACATCACTGGTATCGACCAAAGAGTCAATTTACCACTCCTTCGACTCCTCCATCAGTTCACAGCTATGTATGAGAACGTGAAAGAGACGCGACTCGAGATGCGATCAAATAGAGTGCAATCCATGAGAGATAATCTGGATTTGGGGCACAAAGTGAAAGTCCGCACCTCTGAGACGGACACCACTAGTCATACGCCTTCGAGTTCCAGCTATAAGAACGAGACATTCGGCGAACACATCGCTAAACACAAGGAAGAGATCGCGATCTCTATTCCCGATGACTCGGATTCAGACGTAACACTAGTCGAAGAGCCGGTGCGACTCCGAGAGCCCGTACAGCAACCCATGTGCTGGAAGACTATGTATTATCTGCTGGATCTCTACCAAACAAAACCCGAAACTAAGACCAAAACTGTTATCGAAAGAGTGAGTTCACTCATGCAGTCCGGCGCACCGGTACCCGAGACTAAGATACAGATGGAAGACGAGTATAAGGGCACCGGTAGGTATGAGCCACTGAAGGATCAGTCCATTGAGATGGAAGAGTTGAGTTCACCGTCAGCCGCACCGCCGGCCAAACCAAACGTGAATTTTAATACTCATTCAGTGCACCGAAAGTCTGCTACAAATATAGTGTCCAGCGATCAGCTCAAGAGCTTTACCAATGCGTTGATACAGAGAGAGTGGACACCGATTGTGGTGTTCGGTGTCTGTAAGATCAGACGCGTGGGTCTGTTGGCAATGCTTAGTGGTCTCAAACTGGAGGGCGAGTTATCCGCGTTTCACGTCAGTGTTACCCACAAACAGAAGTGTCGCGGATCTAAGAAGTGGTTCGAGTCGTCACTGAACGGACAGTTGGGTCAGACCGCCATCTCGTTGTTGGAGGAAATGCCTGGCAGTCAGCAATTGGTCGTTAAGATGACTGTCGGGAAGTCGCAGACATTGATATCGTGTCAGAATCGGAAGGGAAGGGACGCCAACTCGGCTTTATTGACAATCGGCCCCATTATGATAGACATACCCCAACATCCCATAGCTCTGCACGGAATGATGACCCGATCCGGTCGTCAATTGTCGACCACTTTGCAGGAGTTGAGGGCATCGAGACAGCCGTCAAGACTATCGCGACAACAGATGGACACCGAGACTATGACCTCGTCTTACGGACAACAGGACTCACAAAAGCCGAGAATGTTTGCCGAAGACATGCCTGACGTGAGCGGAGGATTAGATAATCCTCTGGACGCCCAACAACTGAGACAACCTATGATTAAACCAATTGTCGTTCAGTTCAGCGTAATTCTGGACTCGTTTACAATCGGCGCCTCATTATTGCCGTCACTTCGAGCCCAGTATCAGATGGGAAGAGTGACCAGTAATGGCATCACTGGTAATAAAGCCAAGTTTATCATCGATGTCCATCAGCACACCTTAAGCTTCAACACCAAAGTATTGCCCACCGAAGCCAACCTGCCGTCCTCTGCGAACGTGGATTTGCCGCAAATCCATGTGTCGGCCGAATATATAGAAGATCTGAACAAAGGAACCGCTGGAACCGCTGGACCTACGCGTTCTGAGTCTTTTGCCGAGGGAATTGTCTTACGGAAAGGCAGTTATTTGAACGCCACGGCAGACATAGGCTCCTTCGAGCACAGCCTCACCACTGATTTACTCAATCACTTACTTCTCGTTCAGAAGGTGTTTATGAAGGAAGTGAATGAAGTCGTGCAGAAGATGTCGGGAACCGACACGAAGATCATCGACGAAGAGTTGCTATTCGGCGGCAGCGATAAGAACCGGCGCTCGCGTTATGTCCTCTTCTCACTCCACTTACGGCTGAAAGGCATTCAAATAACGGCCACAACGCCCACCAGTAGTGCCGTGCGTCTGGAGACGGGTCTCATTGAACTCCAACTGTCGAATCGCGTGCAGAACATGTCCTCCAAAGACCTCAACCTCAAGCTGTTCATCAAACTCCAGGTCGACGTCAACGTAGCTTTGGGTCAACTCATCAGAAACGCGATCTTCGAAGAGGCGGAACCGGAGTTCCAACAGTTGGCGTACTTTAAGACACGGATCAGTATGAGGAACGCACTGCAGGACGAGATGGTCGTCAACACGGACATCGAGGACAAGGAGGCTGTGCTCATTGCGCTGCACCGGCCGTTGGTCTACATACAGCCCCTGGCGTTGGACAAAGCGGTGCTCGTTTGGCTGAACTATAAGAACGCTTACGAGTATTGGACGGAACAGCGGTCTAACCTGAACTCGGAAGTGGTTTTGGCGACCCAACAGGTGTTTGGAAAAGTGCAACCAATCGCTCAAATGGGTTCGCAAACCATTGGCACACTCTTCCTGCAGCTCACTGTCGACGACTTGGGCGCCTGTCTTCCCATCACAAACCCAACCATATCGGCGCTCAATCAGAGCAAAGGCTTCGAGTCGGAGCTGAAGGACGCGCTGGTGATCACTCTGGAAAACACGCAAATCAGCGCCTGTTCTTGCGGTTCACTCGTGAGTAAAGCCCAGTTCACGGGTCTCTGCATCCGGTTTGCCGACGACTTCGAGACGTCTCTCGACGACTGGAAGCCCGACAGCATTGACCCCAACATCAGAAACCTATGTGTGGTGTCTGAGGGCACGTATGAGATCTGTTCGCGTACTATAACATCACACCAGAGCCCGAGTGACGCCAAATGGCTTCTGAACGTCTCGTGGAAGATGGAGGGCTTCGACATACACTTCGACACCTCTATTGGCAAACACTTCTCAGCACTCTTTAAGACAATGACTGCCATTGCTGGCGATGAGGATGAAGACGACGGTGACATCTCAACCACTGAGTACGGAAACACTACTGTCGATGAACAGCCACCAGAGGAACAGGTGAAGACCGAAGACGTGGATATAGAGACGACACGATTGAGAAGAGATTCGCTATTAAGAGATGTTTCGGTGGATAATAAGCAGAGATCGCGTATTATAGAGAAGGAGCTCAACGAACAGGTGAAGATCATAAACGATTTGCGCCAATTGGGTGCCAGTCATACCACTATTGAACAGGAGGTGCAGCGTCTCCACGAACTCGAAGCGGCTATCTTTCAGAACTTCCGCAGAGATGTCATCAAAAAGCTTCGGCGACCGAGTGTTAGGCAATCGTCTTTCAAAGACAAGCTATCGATTGGCGGAAAGATGTTCAGTAAATCTCTTCATTCGTATAACGAAACCAATGAAATGACTGAGAATTCTGGTGAAGACTCGCCGTTGGATGCCTTCAAACCGGGATCTTTCGATTCGGCCATGGAATCGGTTCCCAAACTTAAGTAATTGTTTTGTTTTATCATTTCATTTGAATTGATTTCTGAATGAATTGTTTGTTTTTGCAGAACATCTGCGAGTATTCCGATTCCTAAAACAACTGGACCTATAGTTCCCGACTCACCGCTCAGTCCTACGGCCGCATCGATAACCAGTTCTTCAGTGGAATCGCAGAGCAGTTGTGAGAGCGCACAGACGCCTACATTCAGTTTCGAACAGTCCTCTAGTACCACCACATCTGAGTTTCCCATTCCGAAGATTCCGAAGATCACCAAAACTACCGAACGGTTTGTATTAATTCACCTCAAAGTGTAGAATCAGTGCTAATAATCATTGTTTTACATTATGTGCAGTGATTCTGACCCCAGAAAACAGGGCAGTCTTTCCTCTGAATACGACGAGAGTATCGACTCATCGATAGGCGAGCGGTCCAGTGGTTTGGCCGCCAAACAGACCTATCAAACGGAACCCAACATAGACTTTGAATTGGATGTCAAGATATTCTTCAATTCCGGGAAATGTGTTTTGCATACAAAGGATCAGAACACCAAAGACGAGGACAAACCAAAACCAATGCAAAAAGAGCGCAGCTTTTCGGGCGGTCCTTACGATTCACTGCTGTCCCCCAACCATAACGCCAACAAATCCCGTTCCGGCAATAGACTCACCAAAACCACATCCAATAACACATTGAAACCGAACCTCTCATCGTCTCGACTCAAACACCCGACACATCTAAGCGGACAAATCGCTGACTTTACAGTATTTCTCATCCCAGGACTCGATATTAAACTCCACTACAACTCCAAGACATCGTCCGAAGAGAGCGTTCAGTTGAGTGACAGACAGACCACAAGACAGCAGTCGGAACATCGCACAGACCCAGACACCAGTGCTCAACAAAATGGTCAGCAATTGTTGCCAAACAAGAAGTTGGCCTCAAAGAAGGCCACACTCTTCGCGTGGATCACATTACACAGCATTCCAGACGAGACACTCATCAGTCCAAACATATTAGACTTCTTAGAGCAAGCGCTCGAACCCATTCCCATAACAGTGCCGCCAAAGACCCCGACCTCATCGTCAGCGCCCAACGTGTTCACCGGCGAGGGTGAGGCGCCTCCAGTGCCCGCACAATACGCCACATACGCCTCATTCCCGGTCGATGTGATCGTCTACTTTCACGTTCAGCCGACTGTCGTCCGCTTCTGTTGTCTTCCTGTGTCTCGCGTCGAATGTCTGCTTCATTTGCCATCAATTGATTTGGTCTTCTCGTCGAAGCGCTCGTCAGACGAAGACTTGCAGTCCGGTCAGTGCTCTCCACCCAAGTATACCCGCTATACACACAAGACGTCCACAGAGTCGGCCGCCACCACCAGCACATCGATGGGCGGTCTCAGTGTCACCGGATGTTTGGCCGACTTCTCGCTCTATATCTTCCACCCATACGGCGGTCAGAAGAAGACGACGGCACACCTGTCGTCGGCCGCCAAAGACAGCGAAGGCATGTCTTACTCGGACCGCAAAGACTCGCTCAGTCTTCAGGTAGAGTTTGTCAAAATCAATATTTCCAGATCTCGTAAGCTCTCGATCAGCGACTCCATAGCGCAGAGCTTCCGCTTCTCCGCCACCTGTGATATCGGATCCGCTTCTTTCAAGTACGACATGCGACGACTCAACGAGATCTTAGCCTTTCCTAAGGCCTGGTATCGCAAATCCATTTGGAAGCGTATGTTCATCGGAGACCACACTATAAGCGCTATATTCAGCGATCAGGAGGAAGAGGATGACTCACTCACAGATAGCAAAGATCTGTCGGATACCAGCTCTGAGGAGTCCAACCAAACGGGAACTACTGTTCGCACGTTTCATAAGCCCGAGTCATCCAACGCCAGCCGAGAGGGACTCCGACTCAATCTGGACGACCCCACCGGCCGTCGCAAAGTGTATCGCCACACATCCCGAAGCGATTCGCGACCATTCATGTTGTCATCCAACCCGTGGGAGACATTAGTCCTGTTTTCTGTAAATCTGTCGAAATTGAATATTTCGATGAATATGGGGAACGTTATGGGGAACACCAGTTGGTTGACACGCGGTCTACGCTCCGACGGCCGCATATCGATCGACTCGAGCGGACGCAAGAGCTATAAGATTGGGTTAGCCCTCGACGGGTCGACACTGGACGCCAAGGGAGGTATCGTCGGCGGGATCATAGAGTTGAGTCAAATCAATACCGAGATGTCTGTGAAGGAAGTGAAAGGCAACGAACCTCAGCACCAGTTTGTCTGCTCTTTACATACGCTGGAGAAGCGAATCGATTACATGGGGACCAGTATTCTGATGATCAGGGTATCCGATCTGGACATCACTTTACGCGACGAATGGAGAATAGATTTGAGCAAAAATTATAACCAATCCTCGCATCCGACCAAACGTCCGGCGCTTATATTCATTCACGGAGTCCTCAATTGGGATCAAATGCAGATCTTGATGTCGAAGTCGACAACGCCTGACATTATGAAGATTGTCTCCAAACTGGAGGAGTTCTTCACACAACAGTTCCACTCGAGTAAACGGGTCTTCTCGTCACTCCAGACCTATAATAGGCAGTCATTTAAAGGCAAAAGTCAGGCCTCGAAGCGGACGCAGAGTGTGAGCAGTGGTTCGCCGCAACTGACTGTCGGCGCCGCACAGACACAACAGTCGGCGGAGAACGTGGCCATCACTACAGAGGCCCGACATCACAGACATTGGCAAAAGGCGTTGCGTCTGGTGTCGGGCGTACACCTGTCGACCCTTCCCAACCCACTGCCAGTTCACGGCACTATACTGGGCGGCACTCTGGAGCTCAGGGCTCAGAACATATCGCTCGCCTGTTTCTATGGCATCAACTTTCGCTCCAAGAGTTGGGGCGCCTTTAGTCTCAAACATACGTCCATCTCATTCGCCACCGAAGCCCAGAATATAGTCAACGAATCCGGAAGTCTGGACACACATGTGGTGCAGAACCTGTCGTTCCTGTTGGGCCGCAACTCCAGCGAACAACAGCCGCGCAAAACAATGGCCACCGTTTGTAAAATCTCGAGGAATGTCATGTTTCCGCCGCAGTTCAGACATATGCACGAGTGGTTCCACTACGCGTTCAGCGCCTCCGAGATCGACGACGTCGACCGCTTCCCAGCCGTCATGGAGTTGGATATCTTCGGCACTCCCATCCCGTCGACCAACGAGTACTACGCGCCCGCACCGGCACGCGACAGGCGGGCGTCGGCCAGTCCTAAGACCAGTGGTGACTATCATCACTCGCAGGAAGTAATCTTCGCGTTTCCGAGTATGCAATTGGAGCTCAAGACAGAGCACCTGCAGGCGACCGCTACCCCTAACACATCGGACGTGAAGCCCAAAGTCGACTGCGCTTTCGTGTCTGACTTTGACGACCATATCTTCGTGGCGGTGGACGCCGAGGCCTACTTCTTCCTCCACGAGCTCATCAGCTCTTATATCACCGAAAAGGACACAAATATCATGAAAAGTCATTCTCCGAGCGCTGATAAAAGCCAGAAATCGGCCACAGATTCCTTAGAAGCCATGCAAAGGGATTGGAGAGACTTTATATGTCAAGTGAGTGTTGTTTCGGAAAAACTTTTGGGGTTTGTCTTATAGTTTGTCGCGTTTTCGAGGACACAGTCTGTGATATAACGTATTATTTAGTCAATCGTTTTGTGAAGGCTTTCATTACTCGCGAAACTCATTAAGCGATGCTATAGTAATCACTTGAGTCCTATTGTGTTGAGTTTCTCTTCACTCTTTAATCACAGACTGTTTGTTTGGATTTCAATTGAGATTTAGTGCACACTTGAGATCACTTTTATTGTAAATCTCTTCACAAAACTGCTTCACTAGAGTTTGCGATAATTCTCTCAATTTGATCCATTCGTAGCACTTATTAGTCTTATCTATAATTAGAGTTTTTGAATGAGTTTGAAAATTGCCCACAAATATACTAATGCTGTGTATGTATGGAAAGGTATGGCATTTGGAGCCGACTGTACGGCTGCTGTCGTGGGCCGGGAAGAACATCGAGCCCTACGGCGTCGACTATATTCTTCAGAGGCTCGGCTTCAGTCAGGTTTGTGTTCATTATTGACATGAAATCTGGTTTTGTTTAAAACAAACTACTTTTATGTCAACTGTAGGCGCGGACAACGATTCCCAAATGGATCCAACGGACGACAATGGATGGCTTCGACAAACTACTGGCGCTCACCATGTTTGGGATGTTAATGAAGGCCAGGGAGGATACCAAAGATGGCAATCATCACAATAATCACTGAAATATTGTCCGTTTTATCAGCATTTAGTTCCCGTTTGTGATTGGATTCTGTAGTCAATACCAAAATCAGTTCAATTAATCTCTTATTGTATTATATTTTGAAATTAATTTTTTGATATTTGAAGAAATCAATGCTTTTATATACAAAAAGAAAGTTTTATTCATAAATTAATTTTATATTTAATGGAAATATTTTGTTTTAAATCTCGATTGAGATTCAAAATGTGATAAACAATTGTTTTTTGTTATTTGTTTAATTCATTATTGATTTTATTTGTAAATATACATTGATTTGTATTTATACCTGGTAAAGTAATACAAAAATATTTATGACTTGATAACAGTATATATTTGTTGTGAAAGTGGTATCAATTGTGGGAAGCATTTTAAAACTAATACTCAAATTCATATATTAATAATGAACCCGATAGTTTTGTCACCAAAGTGGACGTTTTTCAAAACTTGCAGTCATTTTATTTATTGATTAGAAGTTGAGTATTAATTTTTAAATAAATTTATCTGGAGTATTTATTTGTTTAATAATTTAGCAAACATTATCGGTATAAGTTTGATAGAAACGACAAAATTGTATTTAATACAAACTATAGTCCAATGCAAACATTAGATATAATTCTGTAAATTCTTGGGTTTATAAAAAAAGTCATTGTTTTTCAGTTTTGTATTCAATTCATTGGCTTAAAGTGACAATAAACAAATCGAGATTTTTATGATATTAATTAATANGATATAATTCTGTAAATTCTTGGGTTTATAAAAAAAGTCATTGTTTTTCAGTTTTGTATTCAATTCATTGGCTTAAAGTGACAATAAACAAATCGAGATTTTTATGATATTAATTAATAAATATATTGTATATATGATTAAAAATTAATTTAAAATAAAATATTTATGATATGAAAATTTTAAATTTCTATATCGATTTGGATGTTTATAGCCTTTGTTTCCAAACAAGTACTACATTTTAGTTACAATGAAATACATCAAATAATATACAATTTGCAAACCAAATGAATTCAAATGTAAGGTAAAAGCAGTAGTAATGTGAATATCAAACAATCGATTGCCGTTAATATCAGCTTTTCTTCTGATATTGAGATCCAATTTCGAGAATAACTGGAATTCTTGTTACGAATCACTTATTTTTCTCATCAGTTTAACTATAATTCATCCAAATATTTAACGACTCGTTATCCATTTGGCAAGAGTTCAGGAGTAGGACTGAGTGTCTGTGCAAACACTTCCCACTATTTTCTTGTGTCACTAATTCTGTAATCAATTTATCGGAAATGATTCGCTCTTTTGTTTCCGAATATTCTTTAGT